TGTGGGGAAGAAATCCACGTTCATTTGTGACATATTTCTACAGCACTGTCTCGCAGGCTGTGGCAGGCAGAGTCCTTTTTCAATGACACTTGAATTAGTACTGCTGCAGAGGTCTTGCCCATTCTGACACAATTATCACTCTAAATGATATCTGGACATTCAGATATGATGGCTTCAGCCTGTTCTGTCTGCTTCCAATATGGACATTATCCACAGCTCCTTCAAACAGTTGGATTGGATGAACTGCAATGCCATTCTCTAGTTTCTTAAAAAATTAATCGCACTGTGTGTGGTGCCAGTTCCTGTGTTCTGTTTCTCACAGCTGGTAGAAGAGCAGCGATCTCTCCAGAACTTGTCATGCAAACAAAGAAATCTTGGTGTTTGTAATTCCTGACATATTTAGAGGAAAGGCGCTATAGAGCTTTCAAGTCAAATACTTTTAATTGAACTTGAAACATACACATGCATGCAAACACAGGTACAAACAAAGTGAAGTTGGTTGATAAGGTTACATTATTAAACAAGAATCATCTAAATCAGTGTCTTTGTCCATATTTAGAACTCCACATTCCACTATTTCACTTCTCAGTTACTTGAAATAAGAATGAAGTTGTTTATCTTCCATTCCCATTTTCTTTTTACAATCCAAGGACAATTTTGTAACAGACTTTTCAAACAAGACTTGCCAATACTTTCTTCAAGCTTTTCAGATGAAGCATCTCAGGTTTTCATGATTAAGATCACTAATAAGATAATGTTGCTTTTAATCCGATAGGGAACACTGAGATTTTTGTGTAGTTTACAGATATATGAAACAAGATCATTGTGCGGCTTTCCACAGAGACAAAGATTGGTGTGTTCTTGTTGCAGCGTAAGAAATCAGCATTTTCAGGCCTTTGGGACAGACATATATCACTTTAACCATGGCAGACCATTTTCTGGCTAGAGAAAAATCATCCAACAACAACATAAGATGACTGAAAGATACAGAGATTTTAAGACTTTATTACCGTTTCCCAAAGAACCTCAAACAAAACAAAAACTAAATTCAGCACCCACTCCATAAAACCTTCAGATATTTAAGGATGTATTTGGTACAAACCTGTTCTTCTAGGACTAAAGACACTCCTAATATACCGACTTTGGGAATTCAGCTGAGCTACCACCACAACAGCTAAGGTGTCAGAAAACCTGACCTGTCCAGAGGTAGTGATGGGAATGACTGATCAAAAACGGTTAAGAGATCTTCAAAATGAGAGACAAGCCACAAAGAGGGAAGTATTTTTTCCCCATGTCTCTTGAGGCAAAATACAAATAGTCAAATTCAAACTGCAGCAAAAAAATATGGCTTGGTCAGTAAGAAAAAAATCTCCTAAATGTACACATTAACCATTGAAGTAGATGGCCCAAGAAATCTCCATAAATGAGATCTCAGACAAAAAGCTGGACAGATCCATCAGGAGTGCTATGAAGTTCACCTCTCTTCAAGGTGGAATAAATGGTCCTTTCACCCATTTTCTATAAGAGATTTATTAGGGTATTTCTGCCTGACAAATAACGCCCTACAACCTCTCTGAGTTTATTCTTATGCAGATCCTTAGGACTGAGTTCAGGCTCCTTTCCAAGGAACCAAGCGTATCTCAAGACTTTTTCTTAGCAGAACATGTTAGTATGAATACCCAACACGTACGCTGAGCGACTTCTGGAAAAGCTGAATTGGAAGACACAGCAACCATAAAGAAGATTGGATCTATCAAAAGACTTTTGGGCCTCCATGAAAAAAAGTCAGAATTCATTTGCTAAACTCTTAGCACTATCTCATTTTTCCAAGAGTATAACATTTAAAGAAGTAATTAATATGGAAAACTATTCACTGTACTGCCATTCCTGCATAAATTAAAAAAATATTAGAAAGGGATGGGCGTATCTGGTGGTGGGTTTTTGTTTTTCCTGGAGAAAAAAGGCAATTTGTTAAAAAAAAAAAATATAAACACACATTAAGTATTGTACCTAGCATGTATCACCTTGGTATGAGGACTTAGTCTGACATAAAGAAAAGGGAAGTAGAAAATGACCAGAATTTCCTTTAAGAAGCCATAAATAAAGGCATCTTACACATCAGATGAACTGGAGTAACTAACATATTTCTTAGGATTCAATTAGTAACTCTTACAATTAGGTAAAAATAGTTAAAAAGTAAAAACCTCTCAAGAGAGAGTATCATAGGAAGAGATTAGTTCTTTTACCTTAAATAACAAGGATTACTTTTATCTGGAGGTCAGAGAGCCTCAATAGTACTGCAGTGTCCAGCAATACAAGTATTTAAGTATAATTAGAAGCTTAGGCTGGGAAAGTTACTTACTGTCCTCAAGAAAATAAACCCTTCTCTCCTGGTGTACGGAATTTGTACACCATAACTGACACCAGTGTACTCAGTACATCTCCCTAACTTAAATAACAAGGCGTCAGCAACAAATCCTCATTTGATCCTGTTCTACTGATGGTCCTACTGAATCCTGGGGAAACCTCCTTGCCACCAGCTGCTGTTTTAGGCTAATTTGGTCTAGGGCAGTTTGTATGGGTCTGGCATCGAACTGATCAGCTCTTCTGCTGACAGCTCTACTACCATGCTGTACCATGGCCGGCAGGCTGAAAGAGAAGGGACCTTCTAAGTCTGTACCTGCCTGAATGAAGAGCTTCAGAAAGGGACCTGCATTGTGTCTAATCACAAACCATCTCACTTGGACACGGGTCTTAAAAACTGTGCTGCACAAAAGAGCTCTAGAAAGGAAAAAGGGTACAAGCGATTAGACTGGAGAGCAACAGCAGGGCTGCTAACTGCAGGATGAAGTCAATGCATATAGATAAGGGATACCAAGCATCCCTTTGGCCAAAGAAAGGGAATTATAGGAAACACAAACAAATACTAAGGAGAACAGCTAGGAAAAAGAGATTTGGCTTTTCCTTTACATTTAGGGTTGAGGGAAGAGGAAGCAGGTGGCAGAGCTAAACATGAGAGAGCAAAACTAAATGTGATGTGATCTTTATGGCAGAGCCCACACCTTTTAATTCTTCTTTAAAATCCTGTCAAAATAGACAAGATTTCACACCCTCTTCGTTTTTTTTTTTTTTATCTTGCATGGTTCAGAAATTAAGTCATATGGATTCAGCCTGTCAGTAAATGATTAAAAATTAACTATCTTGCTCAATGTTAAGCAGCTAATTGCAATGCCTGCTCTTATTCTTCCATAGTTGGAACAAAAATTTTCATGACTATATGAAAAAAAGCAGAAAAAGCTACATGTAAAGAACCTGCTTTACTTTGGTAATAACACCTCGGTAGCTGGAAGTTAAGGACAGAACAAATCTGCTTGAATATACACCAAAAGGGAGGTTCCAGGTGCATTTAACAAAGCTAATTGCACTTGCTTACCAAGAGACTCATCTGAAACAAATCATCTCTGGTTTCCTGAAACAGAGTTACAATAAAAACTACTGCATTACAAATGCCAGTTTGGGCACTGATAACCTTTGTTATGAAGAGCTGTATACAGTGGTGACTGGCATTGTTTTATTTCACCACATAATACAAGAAGTTGTGCATGATTGCCTTATTTAATTGCTCAGGAATAACAAACCTGCTGTACCTTTCACAGACCACTGGGATTCCTGCAGACATATTTGTATGTAACTATTTTCAGCCCAGGAAAAAAAATTCTTTCAACCTTTTGAACTTTCTTCTACACTTGTTACTGTGTCAGAAGATTTAGACATCCTCCAAGCAAGGTTGTTGTCAGCTCTATTTAGTCAACAAGGTCCTTTATGTTAGTATTTTGAAAGATCACGTGGTCATTATGCAATTCAAAATTTGAAGCATATTTGTTTTATGAGCTGTAGAAAAGTATTTATAAAAAGTAATTCAGGCCTTGGCATTTCGATTTCTCCCTTATTTCTACAGATTAAAGCTTACCCACTGAGGCTTCCTTGAGCCCATTAACACAGTATGTTCACCTCATTACAGACTTAGAGCAGTTCTGCAAGTTCCTCTAATTAACGTTCTTAAATAATTAAGAAATTTTCTTCAACCCCCTCCCCGACATCTCTGATGTATCACAGTTTTTAACAGATCACATCCTTCTTTCCTCCTCAGCACAGAACCCAAGGACGGATTGCACACGGGCAACCATCACCTCACTGCATCCCTTCGTGTCAGTTTCTCCTTCTACCAAATTAACCTGTCTTTTTCATTAAGACAGAAAAAATCTGGTCTAGATACTTCCTAACCAACCCCCCAGATCTTAAGTATGCACGCTGCCATCAAGACCAGCATTGAGAGTCATCCACAACGCTGGAGCTCAGGGGACGCCCTACAAATAATAGACCCCTCATTGAAAGATAAGGAAATCTCATTTAGATGCAGAAGTGAAATGGTAATGTTTTAAACCCAGCCTCTAACAGAAAACATCCCTCTCCGATATACTGCTTTAGTTAGTTTCGCAACACGCTTCCCAAGAAAATAAAGCCAATCTTCCCTTGGGTACAGAAACCACGCCAATGCCAGTGCTGGCACACAACTAAATTATGTGGCTTCAACTAATGAATAAGAAGAGCCTAGATTTTTAACTGAGCCTAGAAAACAGGTCTACAAGTCCTTTTCTCTGACCCATTATTCGACCTATCAACCTTAAGCAAAATGAGCAGAGTTGAGGATTCCCTGAGACTCAAGTTACAAAGAATTTAAAGGAAAGGAGTGTTATTTTAGGTAACAATATGGTGGTAACAGTAACTGCCTGGCAGTAAAGCACTAAAGAAAACATACACTTCTGAATAGCTAATAACTTACAGTTCTGAAAATCTAAAATATGGATTGTAAAGTCTGCTAAATCTGCTACTTCCCTCTTCACCTTGGGCCCATTTTTTATTTTGGGATTGCACGGAATGAAACACACACAAACAAACCATGACGACAGACACACACAAGACGAGCCTCGGAAACTTACCCCTCCTGACAACTTAATCACCCTGACTTTGCTGCCGACATGGGGCCCATCTCCACTACCACTGTTTGTCCGCTGCATGACAGTCCTTTTCATGCCAGGTTTCAGTTCCTGGGGCCTTGCTTGTACCGAAGCCACTCGAGCAGTCTGTGGTGAGGGCAGCGGTGCTGCAGCAGGTTTTGTCTGCGATATTTTCTGTGCTGCCTGAGGCTGACTTGGAGGTACTGTCCTGGGCTGCCTCAGCTGTTTCACTGGTTTCAGCTGCTGTCCTTGATATTGCATATTGCCCCCAACCTGTGGGTAATCTGTGTGTTTGGGCTGGGTATTTGGGACTACCATATCTTGCTTTTTAACAAGGAGTCTGTTTTTCACATTTTGCCTGGTCTGTAAGCCAGAGTGGGGTACGTAAGGGTTGCCGTTGGTGGGGAACTCGGAAGAGTCGTCCTCCTGCTGCACGTAGGATTGCTGCGTAGAAGGCTGCTGCTGCTGCTGCTGCGCCAGTCTTTCAAGCAGTTCTCTCTTCCTAGCACCAGCCTGCTGCTGCCGTCTCAACTCCTTTTGTTTCAGAATTTCTTCTCTTAAACGCTTCTGCTCTTCTATCTTCAAACGGTACAATCTAGTTTCTTCATCTTCATCTGGATACTACAAAAGGGAAACACAAATTAATTTATAAAATACTCTATCTGCCCGGTTTGGTCAAAATAACATTATTTTGTTGTTTTAGATGTGATAACGACCTAACTCTCTGTAGAGCTTCTGAAATTATCCATGACACAAAGGAAAGGCTATTAGTAGTAGAGCATATTCACAAATATGGTTTATTTGCTATTCATTAGAGATAAACAGCTCAAATCAGGTTTAGGACTTAGAAATACTACTTCCTAAGACAGTTAAAAAAAAAAAAAGCTTTAATACCAGTTAAGAAATCTTATCATAATACTAAAAATGAAGTCTTACAAATTGGAACTCATTTAGAAGTTTCTAAAACCAATTAAACTATTAATATAATTTGAGATATCAAAATATGTTTCAAATGGAAAGTAACAATACGAAGGCAACCCACTGTCACACAGGTTTTATCTTGCTCTTTTCTGACAAACTAACAAAAGGTAGGGTGGTAAATGACCTGAAAGGCCCTGATTAGAACTATTGATTTTTCTCACAGAATTTTCAGCCTGATCTCAAACTCATTTGTCACACAATAATTGGTTATAATGAACAGCACAAGTCAATCTCTCTGACCTTGAACTCATGCACTCTCTTCAGAATCAAAATGTTGCCAAATGCAGCGTTGGAATATTAATGGTATATAGAGAATGCCTTTAATATTCTGTCCCTAGGCCCTTCTGAAAGTCTTATACACTATCAAATAACCTTTCTAAAGATTATTCAACTTTGGCGCAACCGGTTCTTATGAAAAGCTATAAAAAATAGACAAGAGCTGGGAAAACATTAATTCTCACCATCCCGGAAAAGCAATCAAGCAGCTTATGATACAAATATATGCATTTTTTTTTTAAAGTTACAAAGCATACCTTTTATGTGTTTTATTTTCAACAGTTTGAAACATTAAGTTAGAGACTTACAGAGACTGCTTACAAATGCTAATGAGCACAAAATTCTCTTGATAAGATCCGTTAATCACCCCTAACAGGCTCTCAGAGTAATAATACTCCACATTTTGGTAAGTTACAGCATAAACAATGTTAGAACACTTCTCAAAAACTGAATCTGCAATTAATAGTTATTTATGTTGCTCTAAACTGGGGTGCAAGAGCTTGTAAGTATAAATGTCTTTTTTTTTTTTAGATTATTTTTAAACACATGCGTACCCAAGTGTGCAATAATAAATTTTGGTGTTTGAGGGCTTTTATCTCTGGTATATCACAGAATCTCCAACACAAAAGAAAAAAAAAAGCAGAAGAGATCCAACCATAAAGTTGATTTGCAGATAAAAAAGCCCATTAGTATTTGTGTTCATAGAATCCAGATGCACAATTCCTGAATGCTCGTCTCCTCCGGATATAACTGCTCCTTTTCTAAGTAGCTGCATGTCTCAGAGTACAAGTCTAGCCTAAACAACGACTAAAATAAGATTTCAACAAAAACAGATTTATTTATTTATAAATATGGGCTACAGTTTTGGGAGGAATCCGAACACCATCCTTTTTAGGACAATGCTTCATAAACCACAAGTTTCTGATCTTCCTCAATCCTTTTCAGAGGACGACTGTAGTGATAAATGACTGATCACTGTAATGACTAGGTTACAGGTCTTTGTTGACAGATGGCAACAGGAACACACTTTTACAAATTAAAACGTGGAGGGAAGTCAAGTAGTTAATCTTGGACTGAAAGCTGGAGGTGCTAGATTATAGTTTTAAACACCAAAACAACAATAAAAAAAAAAACACGTGATCCTTCAGAAACAGTGCAAAAAGATAAGACTCTTAAGTATATCTTGCATAGGATGAGAAAAATAAGATAAGCTCCAGATAGGAGGATGACATGCTGTTATGCAGAACCTGATGTTATGAATGAAGCTTTCAGTCCGTTTCAGAGACAGTAAATATGTTGTTCAAATTGTCCAAACAGAAAACCTGTTCCACTTAATGAATTAATTCACTTGCTTTGCTTTAGATCAGAGTATTCTGTATTTTATCTAAATGGGTCTGACAGATGCCAGTGAGCCAGTACCAAGTCTACCTCTAGAGGTAGCACTTTTTTTTTTTTCTTTTTATGATCAACTGAGGGTGTCAATACTAGCAGAAGTCTGCATAAGACTGGGCTTTTCTATCAGCTGTGCTGTATCATCAGGGAACTGTCTGCTTGTATTATCATCTAACAAGTTCTGAAAGCCTCGGAAGATACAAATCCCGATCTGGTAAGTACAAAACACCAACTCAAAGGCTACACGTAAGCAGCGCAGAGATGTATTTTCTGGTGCATTTAAATGGGTCTTGCCAGAAGGCAAGAACGGACATCCTGAGGGGCTCTGATCAACATGTCCATGCAGAACCCCGTGGGCAGACTTCAACTGCACTAGCATTAAACACAGAAGACAAGTGGCAAACTCTATTACCAACACATCAGAAGATGGATGAATGCTTAGTAGAATCTTCAGGCTACTCCATCTCAAATATAATCTGGAATTTTCCTTTCAGGAACTCAACTCAATACATGCTAAGTTAGTAAGGTTCCTACAAAGTCAATACAAAGTCAATTTCTTCTTAAAAGGCGAGCTGCGAAATGAAGGGCCAAAAGCTCTGAGGTTATATGACGATTGCAAATCAGATCATTAATAGGCTATAGACAGGCCTAAATCCTTCATCTCCATAAATGAGTTACTATTATTGTTAAGTTCTCAGTAAAATACCCTTGCAGCTAGAAGACGACCGCGCAATATAAAGACCCTGTGATCATTAGCTAAGTATTTGCATTAGGAGTCACTTTTAATTGTTATTAGTTGGGGAATGACCCAACTGCTACCCATTCTGATTCCGTGCTAACTCCTCACCAGGATGAAAACAGGGGTAGTTAAATCCTCTGCCTCTTGGCTCTAAAACCATCTCTTCCCCTACATTGTAAGTAGCTTCATCAGAAAGAACAAGCAAGACAGCATACTGGATCAAAATGGAAATGGTATGCAATGACTGCTGCTAATGCTTTTCATCCTATTAGCTTAATAACCGCAGCACAGACTTCTTCACAAGCAGTTGCACTGCCAAAAGAAAAAAAAAAATAAAAATTTTGCCAAAAAAAGCAACTGGGAGAAAGTAGACATCCGTCAAAGAAATCGTGAATTTCACAGCTCGTATTTGGAGGTTTAATACCAAAAGCAACATTATCTGCAGGTGAAGCAGCACAAAAACTTGGAACAGCCTTTACACTAGATAAACCAGATGTGTCATCCTTTTTCTGCAGAAAATTCTACAACATGAAGAAATGGTGTACATAAAAGGAGGAGCCAGGGGGAATACAAAGTAAAAGAACAAAAAGTACAAGCACAAAGCCAGAGAAGCAAAGCAGTTCCCTTACTGTTATTCTTATTGTTTTGTTTTTTCTGTTCATTTGTTTTTGCTGTTGTTAAATGCAGATTCTAATCTGTCTGAAAAGTTCTTGAGCACAATATATTTAATTGTGGTTTGGAGGGAAGACCAAGCCTTAGCTATAGGTTTTTCTTCTGCCTTAAAGGTTCATAGATTGTAATGGAAAGTGCCAGAAGAAGTTGTTATAGGCTGCCATTCTGAATCTAACTCAAGAGCAGCAGTAAGAGAAGCAGCAGACTTCTGTAGGGTAACCCAGAAATGCTCTAAAACAAATTACAATATAAAGTATAACGTCTCGAGTCCTCGTACCAATAGCTTGCTTCTCATACAGTGAATTCAAAACAATCACTTTTGTGGCTTTTTTTTTTTTTTTTTTTTTTTTTTAAGTTCTTAGAGTTAAATGCAGAGCCATAAGAGCTGGATACTGAAGTTTTCTGGCTTGCAACGAAGGATAAAGGAACAAAAAAAAATCATGCAGCCAGGCTCACTTGTTTTTCTCAGTAAAACTGGCACAATCAAAACAGTTTGAACTGCAGCATATACACAAATCAATTTATTCAAGAGGTTATTTTTTCCCCATCAGTTATAATATTAGAAACAAAATAGACTAGAAGCACTTGACCAAAAATTCATAACAATTCTTAATAAAAGGTAAGGACAGATCCAAATTACACCATTTGGCTGCTGGGGTTCAATAAGGACAGTTAAATAAACGTCACACATTACTAATGACAGGGGCTCCTAAACCCTATGAAGGTATGAATCATCCTACAAAACACAGGCAGAGTACATCTCAGAAAAACAGAAAATTAAGAATGAGATTATATATTACTTTGAAAAGCACACTGCCCTCTTATGATCTTCTATCTGGAAAATATCACTGGAAAGAATTTAAGCACAAAGACAGGAGGCATTATTTTTAAAATTTAGAAGTCAAACCTACTCAAGCTGGAGAGAACAAATTAAAATTACATTTTTTCAGGTAATTAACTTCTAAAAAAGCAGATTTAGAAACATTTTCTTAATAATCACCTGAACTTGATCAATATTGAATATTTTCTATACTCTGAGTCTTACAGAAAAGAACATAAGACCCAACAAAAATCCAACTCCAAAGTTTACTGGATTTGGAAGAACAGAAAGGTTGCCTTTAAGGATACCAGGGATGTTATCTGCAATATAAGCGTTGATATCAGCAAGCCTCTGATTATGCAATGGTTTACCAATATCTCCCCTGTTCTGAGATCCAATATTTCATTTCTTCTAAAAAGCTTCACATCACCTTTCTACATTTTTCTGCCCCTTTTTGAAACTCAAAAATGCTTAATGTTTCCCTAATTCCTCTCTCCCTAAACTGACCTCAACATGAGCAGAATGAGACCCGCAGTCACTACCCATTTCTCTCAATTTCATTGTCTCTTTGTTACTCTCCCAGATGTAAACTTCCATGTCCTCAGTCTGAAAAATCATTTTGACAGAGGCACTTAAAGGTCGATATTTTCCAGCTGCATAGGAACAAGTGTACCATTCAGAAAGTTCAAACAGTTTTCAGTCTTCTAGTCACTCAGATATATAAAGGATTGCAACCTATTTGGAAGATGAGGGAAAACCTTTAACAGTCAACATTGCTATTTTTTGTGCTTCCTGAGTGATAGGGCATTCATAAATATGGCCATTGGCTCTTAAGGAAGATGGATACAGAAAAAGAGTCTTAATTTTCCAGTTGAAGACACTTGCAAAATAACCTGCCCAATTCAGTTATGAGCCAGACAGCTAGAAAAGATGGCAGAATTTAACTCTTTCATCTTCACAGAAAGCCTAAAACAGCATAAAGTTTGGTAATTAGAAGAAAAATACACAAAAGACTGGAAAATATTACAATCTGCCTTAAGGAGGGGATGTAATAACCTACATTACAAAAATAGCAGAGAAAATAATTAAGTGCTTGGAAATGAGAGCTGCTAGTACAGCAATCCTCAGTTTGTAAACTGAGGATGAGTGACACCAGTGAATATGACTACCAAAGTGGCACAGCTGAAAAGGGACAGCTGTTACTGCACTGCAGTGCAAGGCTCTCTTTTGGGTCTACTTTGAAAAAAGATGTGGTCTATTCTCTGCATGCACATTCATAGAAATCTTTGACAAGAGTACCTATGAAAGCTTTACTTTTATGGTTATCAATAGGAAACAGTATAGAGACATCAACTTTTCAAGGGCAACTTTTTTTTCCCTCCTATTTTACAAAAAAGGTGATGTATGTGAAATAGGTATCACAAACTCCTTTCGAAGACAGCTGTTTTACTATGGAAATGAAAAGAAAGCTTGACTTACAGGACCAAGAAATCACATGAGTTGAATTAGATGGTCTTAAAGTTACAGGTTTGTTAGGATACGTATAATATTTAAGATGGAGAGAACAAGATATCTGTACTGGTTATTTTATTCCATTTGATTAACAGGAGTGAAAACTAGTAGTTCATTTTTCCTGACACTGACAGAGATATTTCAGGACTAATGTCCTAAGTTCCATATGGCTGAAACATGAAAAAACTATAAAATGCTTTAAATGGAGAGGCCTGTAACTGCTTTGCATAGGTCTTGAAAACTTACCTGTACTATTGGCCTGAAAGACAGATTGACTTGGATTATTCCAAGAAACTGAACTGAGGTGAAAGGGATTACTTAAGCAATTTTTTCAGAAAAGATCACAATTAAAAGGGTTTTTTATACTTCCCACTGAGAAGCAAGTCCAGAAGAGGTCAAGCACTGCCAGCTACGGGTTTCTTTTGTGCCACATTTCCGAAAATTAGGGATGGTCATAGTAATTCACGAACGAGATGAGAAGCTAATCACCAGCAGCTTAAGAGGAAGACAGTATTACCACAATTAAAGCTTTCAACAGTTGTTGAAGGAAACCTGGTCCTTGAGACAAGTTTCATGGGCGACCGAACTATAAAGATTTACAGTTTTGTTCCGAATAACCTGACATTCAGGAATTGTACAGGGTGCATTTAACCATCATGTTCCTCTGGCACTTCCTGACATTCAGTATTAACAATATCATCTGTGCAATCCTACCTACTGTCTCACACAGTGCTCATGGCAAGTCTTCTCTAGCTCCCAGGAGAATTTGTGCAGGAAAATGTCCCCTGTTCACAATGCATAACCCAGTGGAATCCAAAAACCTGTATTTCATTTTTTGATTGTGCAGAGTACTAGCAGAGCAAACTGCATCTTTTTGTCCAAAATGGAAAACTTGAGAGCATCTCCTATTTTCCTTCATCCAAAAAGGGTATATGAAAGAAAGATTTTCTTCCTCAAGAAGAAGAAATTCCGTGGACAATACAGCTGCAATTTCCTGCAGGAATGCTCAAGACCCTAGAGTAGAGTGGGCAATCTAAGGGCAAACGGCACGAGGAAGAAAAATGGCTATTTAGGGCATATAAGGCATACAGCAACACAAACTGGAAGAGAAGAAGTTTTCTAACCAAGGAAGAAGTACTTACCTGTTAGGGGAAGAAAAAAACAAATGACAAAAAAACACAACACAAGACAACTGATCGTAAACCTGCAAGATATAAAATGGGCACAGTGGGTCAGAGGTCTATCAGAGAACTATCTCAGAGACTTGTATCATTGATGAAGTTCATGCCACCTCTGCCTTGTCACAGTAGGAATGATTCCTACACCTGCAAAACAGGATCACCAGGGCCCTGACAACCTTTCAGACTTCCCTTTTTTTATTTTGGTCAATGGAAACTGGCTGAAAGCACAACTCAGAAGGGAGGCCTCTAGTGGCAGCAAAAAATATTGGGCGAATAGTATGTTAGATATGCTTACAGTCAGACAAGAAAAGTTTCAAATGGGCTTTCTTTTTAAAAACAGAAAAAAAAAACAACTTACCTCTGTTTCAGACTTTGCTTCTGGTTTTGCTTGGGCCACTGGTGTGATCGCTTTAGCTTTCACCTCAGGCCGTCCCTGTGAGTTTCCAACACCAGCTACAGTCTTGGTGGCAGACGCTGTGCTGGTAATGGGTTTGACCTGAGCAGCTGGGGTAGAGGTTCGCCTGTTGTTGCTCACTTCCAGAGCATGTGACGGTGCTATTGGCAACTCCCGCAAGTTACTATTTCTTGGAGCAGTTGGCTGTAGCTGCTGATTTGGACGCTTGACAATATTTTGTGAGGGTGTGTTCTGAAAAGCAGAAAGAAAAAAAAATGCAGATATTGCTACTCCAAGACAGACTGAAGTGATCCCTGTTTTAGATTTTCATGACTTGCTTGCCACCAAAAAAAGAACTTTTCAAAGAGGTACTGTGTTTTCAATGTAAGTATTAAAAACAAAAACATTAACTTTTTAATCTACAGCAATCTCAATGGTTTAACATATTTCTCAGAAATTGGCCTCACTGTGATTTATTTTGCTAATTAAAGTGATTCTTCCAAACTACAGTCACATCAACTTGAGCACTGCCATGGACTGTTTGTTGTGTTACCCCAACCTACCTAGTAGCAGAACATGCTGGACTGGAGCAAACTCACAAGACATGAGCGATACCATCTGAACCAGAACGCTTATTCACAGTGCTACTGAGAGGCCTTCAAATTGAAGGATGGTGTCACAGAAATGGGCTCCTACACAGTCACAGACTACCAGCAGTTTTAAATATGATCATGCAAATTTTCCCCACAAACCCTTTACTGTCAGTTCTTGGACAGTCAGTTCTTGGGCAACTCTATCATCTCTTTTTGGAATCAGATCACAAAAAAACCCACAAAATTAGACTAGAAAAAAAAATGTACTATTTGTGGATGTAGATTATAAAATGATCAAAGTAGAAAAGGGAGCAAAAAATGGTGAACAAAAATGACAAAGCAGAAAAGGAGTAAGTGAGATTGAAAAACTATAGTGGCATTTTGAAATGTGTTTATATGCTTATTATCCATGCGGAGCTAAGAGACAACGCTGACGGAGGTGGTACTCACATGTCTTGGCTTCATCGGACCCTGCCGCTGCTGACACTGCATCCTGTTGTTATTTGGCTGCTGCTGCGTGGCCTGCATGTGAGGCCTGAACTGTGGCTGGTTCATGGGCATCAAGGGCTGTGGTGGTCCTTGGAGATGATGGTGGTGTTGCTGCTGCTGCTGCTGGTGATGGTGTTGTTGCTGCTGCTGGTGATGGTGCTGCTGAGGCTGAGGCTGGGGCTGAGGTTGCAACGGTGGATGCAAAGGACCCTTTGTATCAAGAAAGATTATTTGTTTTTAGTTTCAAGGTAGTAATCTTTGGAAAAGTAGCTCCAGCCTCACAAGTCCTCAAAACATTTGTGTCCTCATAACATTTGTGAGCAGCTACTGCCCAGGCTAAACCAAAAACACACTGATTAAAAAACAGATTAATAGAAGCTGTGCAATGTTAAGCCTGAGTAAGACAACAGCTTGAATTGGGAAAAAGGCAAACTGAAAGGCCTTCTGCTCTCCTTTTTCTTTTCTGTTTTAATGACTTAAACACTGTTCTTTCTCTTCCTCCCCCCAAACACAGAAGTCCATAGAAGTCTTCATGACTTCCCCACATTCAAAACCCAGACACCATGAAAAGATCCCGAACACCCCAGCACTGCAGGCAAGGGCCCTCTCCATCACTCGGCAGTAACCCCAGAACATTTACCCACTTCAAGCAAGCAGGCTCAGCTTCCCCTCGGGCAGCAGGAGGCCCCAGCTCCCCGCTGAGCTGTGCGGCTGAGCAGCAGAGGGCGCTCCGGCCCTGCCGGTGGCCCGGACCAGTGGGGCAGCGGGACAGCTCTCCCTGCCTCCGCGGAGCTAAGGCAACTTAAGGAGCTGCATGGCACTGGATCAAACGTGGCATTAAAACTTCTCAGACTACATTAGCTGTAAAGTGTTAAACAAATCACGGTGTTTTTTGTAACTTTACTGTAGAGATAGGACTGGGCTGCAGACTGCTATTGGAAATGAGTTAGTGCTGGCAACCGAAGGAAAAAAATAACCACTTTTTCTGACAGAGTAATAAGCACGATATGCAAATCTGCCTCATACCTGTAATCTTGAATAACTCCGTTTTATTCACATTACTCCTATAAGCCAACAGGGCTACAGTGCAGTATTGGAACACTGCAAACACCTCTTGTACGACTGCTCCTACTATAGATCTGTACCTGCATGTTAGGCTGCGTGTGTGCGGCGAGGAAGGGCTGTCCTGGGGCTTGTAGGAATTGCTGTCTCGGAGGAATGAAGGGCCGTGGATTTGCTGCACCCGGTTGGTTGAAATGGAGAATTCCCACCGGGCCTTGAGGCTGTATGTTTGGCCTCACCGGCCTCTCTCTGGGAAATACCGGCTGTTGCCCCTGTTGGCTGAAGGCTGGCCCGGGCTGACTGAATGGCATGGGGCTTTGCGTAGGGACAGGATGCGCGCTGTTCAGAAGCGGGGGAGGTGGTGGTGGGGGGGGGCTCCGCTGCTCAAACAAGTGATGGCTTGGAAATCTTGGATCTGCAGGAATCAGAAAAAGTCATTAAAGGACAGACTCCTTGGGAAACAAACATGCTTTTCAAACACAAAGTTGTTTTGATTTAGAAAAAAGTAACGAAATTTGTAGAAAGCAAAAATATGAGGTGTTTTAATCTTAAGAGTTATCCTCAACATCCATTTCCCTCACTTGTGCCACCTGTGTTTAAAAGGAATTGATGCTTGAAAGACCAACAGAACTGACCATTACCTAGAATTAGGAATAGCTTTCAGAAATTCTACTCTACTGAAATCAAAGGATTACAGGGATTAGCGCTTGAAGTACACAACAACTCACAAAACTCTGATACCGTTTGCTAACCAGATACTCAGCAACTTTACATATATATTTTATCTGTACTGACTAGTAACATATACACGATATATGCATTTCATACATTTGGTATAAACATATCTATATATACACACTGTCTTGGTTTCAGTTAGAACAGAATTAATTTTCTTCCTAGTAGCTGGTGGAATGCTGTGTTTTGGCTTAGGATGAGAAGAGTGCTGATAACACCCCGATGCTTTAATTGTTGCAGAGCAGTGCTTATACTGCAAGGATACTCCAAGGACATCTCAGCCTTTTGCTCTGTCCTGCCAACGGGCAGGCTGGGGGTGCAGTAAGAGCTGGGAGGGGACAGACCCAGGACAGGTGACCCAAACTAGCCAAAGGGGTATTCCATACCATCTGACGTCATGCTAAACAATATATAGGGGTGGCTAGCCGGGGGGAGGGGGCCGGACTGCTCGGGGTTAGGCTGGGCATCGGTCAGCGGGTGGTGAGCAATTGCATTGTGCATCACTTGTTTGTACATACTATTATTACTTACCTATTATCACCATTGTATTATTATTATTGTTATTATTATTTTTGTTATTATTATTTTCCTGTCTTATTAAACTGTCTTTATCTCAACTCACAGGCATCACTTTCCATTTCTCTCCCCCGTCCCAGAGAGGGAGGGGGGAGGGTGAGCGAACGGCTGCGTGGTGTTTAGCTGCCGGCCGGGTTAAACCATGACACACACAAACTGTTTTGTTTGCTATGCTGCAGCAGTTCAGCTAACATTAATAGAGTTCTTATAGAACACACATAATCCAGACAGTTTATAGTGTTAATAATGGAAACCAAAATGTACGGAGAGTGCATTATGTAAAATGTAACAAGTTACAATAATTTTATTGCATTTACTTTTATTTACAATTACTAACATGCTAATTTTATTTTGCATTTGTATAAATTCACAGATTTATGGTAGCTAAACGTGTAGACAGAAGACTACATCAAAACAGGAGAAAAGATAGACCACTGCAATTTCTGGCACTGTAACTCATCAGGTTACATCAAACACTATCTTCTGGTCTTCAGGTTCTTCTCAACATTTCATGTTACAAGATACATACTTAAACTGCATACTGATTTTACAAAATGTACAGCTTATACATTAATTGAAATGAAAATGCTTACCTCCTATAAAAAAGGGATCTCTCTCCTGAGGAGGTGGAGGAGGGAGTGGTGGTGGCGGTGGTGGTGGCCCCCTCCACTGGTCCTGGATTGGCAGCCTTGGGGCCTGTGAGAAGGTGGTAGGAACGGGTCCAGGCGCATGCTGCTGAAAGTCTGGAGGAACCTATTTAATAAGACAAAACTAAGATTAAGACTACCAGCCAGAAAATTATCTATTGTCTGCTATAACTTTTTTCTCTTAAAAATGTAATTGATTTATGGAGTTACCTCCTATAATCTCTACAAATTGGCAGCTCTTACTGAGTCATCCTTTCACAATGGAAGAGATATTAAACCTGAGCACAGCATTTTGAAATGAATTCACAATGTTTTAATAATCACTAGCACTACAGGAATGCCATTTATTCTCAAAGCTTATTGAAATCCATGCAATTATTGACCTTCTTTCCCATTAATCCCCCCAAAATCTGAATGTCTACTTTAGAAGATATTCCTGACATTTATCTTCTTAAACCATGCTATTCTGTGCCATCAATTCAGTACAACGTAGCACACTGAAGAGAAGCAGCTCTGCTTGGGGGAGGGATGGGGGACAGGACACGACGATGCGACAATTTGTGGCATTTGAAAATTAAATAAACCATCTTTCAAAAATTAAAAAGGTAATATTTCTGTCTATTCAGAATGCAAGCATCTGAAGCATTGTAAGGCAGACTACAAAGTTATATTTCCTTATATTATATTTTTAAAAATGTATTTTATATTTTAAAATGTAAACTGAGCCCTTACATGTTGCAGAAGGTGGAACATCAATATAAAAGCAGAATTTTGCAGAAGACACATTTAAGTCAGTAATTCACATTATTACTATTTCTTTTATATCAGAAGTTGACAAAGTATGTTGGCAACCTCTGATAACTAACCGAGAGAAGCTATACCTAAAATAAATTACTATATTCACAAACATTTCCTTATTATATATGCGTAGATCAAATAAGTAATGAAAATAGTCTAGGAACATTCTTGTTTTCCACTTCAGAGAAATTTTGAAATTAGTGGTGGCATCTTTTTCGTCTACATCTGGTGTTCACCTAAAAGCTTAAAGCTTACCATTGTTGAAGACAAGCTTTTCAAAACAGATTTCAGAATACACACACTCCCTGCTAAACTGAATTATGGCCATCAGCAAAGGATTATCATTTATCTATGGGGCTGCCCTAACCAACAACATATGCAGTCTCACCCTATCCTATGTGTATTGAAAAATATCAGTTTTTTCATTAAAAAAAAACTCACACAGCAAAACCAGGTATTTGCCCTGGCAACTGAAGTCTGCTCACTATCAAAGCAGCACAAGACAAAGCTGCTTCACACCCTTCTACCAGCAAGCTACAGATGGGATTTGCAAGATCTACCAAAAAGGTAGATGAGAGCAAACCACTGAGGCTCAAAGCCATTACAAAATCTGTGGCCTTCTCGGAAACACCTAAATGGGCTATCTGAGAAACTAAGACCTCTCATTTGGAAGCGAGACTGCGACTATGTATTTCATGTCATTATATAGCCATCAACTGCAAATACTTTATCATCAGAGATTAAAGGTTCTCTATCCTGTTGCCAGTGCTCCTTCCTAGCCAGCCAGTCTCCTGTGGGTATTTCATTTAGAGAAAAGACATCATTTTACACTCAAGCATGACAGTCTACATAATGTACATATTATTTACAGGAGGAGCTGCTATACTTCTCTAAGGTAACAGTTACCAACACAAAATATTCTTGCCACCTCAGAAGACACCAAGACCTTTGAATTTCAATGCTGTCTGCAACCAATGGCACTTAGAGGAATAGGGAGGTATTTAGGGTGGAGAAAATGACATTGATTCGTCCCATCAAAATCCATTCAGGTTTAGCTGAACCAGGCGGTTCAACCGCGTTGCCCTTCCCTGGTGTGGAACAGGACAGCGCTGGCTGCCTGCCAAAGCAGAACTGAACACAAACCTTGAGGATCCTGACCCTTCGTTCCCCAAATGCACCTGTACCATCACCATGCATAGGAGCTGCCAGAGGTACTTTCAAACTAAGGTTAAAAGCATCCCTTCATCCTGGGGGATAAAAGCGTATTAAAGAGCAGCTCTCACAGCCATCGGTCACCCTAGGGAACACACAGGGCTTCCGCAAGCCACGCAGCCTCAAGGGACGCACTCAGCAAACCACCCCACGTTTAACTACTTCGTTATTTAGGCAGTCACATTTAGTTTGTCACTGTATAATGCATGAGGTCACTGCCAATGGAGGCAGGGGAAAAACCAGTTCATCAGGGCAGTTTTCACACAAGGTGGTTGTCTTACATCTTACTCACAGCACATCCTCACATGAGCATATGTCACCTGGGGAGAGGAGGAAGCCCAGGCAGGTAACCTGCTTTTTATTTTTATTTTTTATTTTATTTTATTTTTTTGAGGATTTAACTTTGAAATTCTGAAGTTCTTCTAGTTCTCAAGATATGCCTACATAAAATTTATTTATTTCTAAAGTGGCCACTGAAAAACATGACGTGGAAACACAGGTAGAGAAATGGTGAGTACCACATATTTGCCGCCTGAGCTGAAGAACTGGCAGCAGTAATAACGTGGCTGGGCTTGTTTCCAAGCACCAAATGGTGTCACAGTGATGATAATCTGTACTTCCTTCTTCCAAACTCAACATATTCTGCCCTAGTGAAGGTCACAGAGCCTTTTCAGTCTCTCCCCCTCTCTCCCAAGCTCTAGATAGACACAGGTTACGGAACAAGCAGGTGTCTCCACTCCTGCTCCTGAAATCTGCAACCAAATCTCAAGCATTTTCCTCAATATTAATTCATTTCTCAGTTAGTCTTGTTTTTTCTCCTGAAGGAGGAGCATGAGGTGTGTGTGTTTCTATACCTGTATTTAAATAAAGAGCTTTCCCTCTCCTGCCACCCCACACCCTCATTATTACACCTGGATCTACTACATCGCAAAGCAGCCCTGAATTGCAAATGCACAGGAAGTCCTGCTGAAATCTCACACAAATCTTAATGCAATGAAACATCCCCCATTCAGCCAAACTTTTTTTTTTTCTTGAAAAATTGAGCAACAATAAAATGTGAATTTCTGAATAGCTCACTCGGGCAAAATGATGTTCTTCAGTGTTTTAATCTCTGAATTCTGTATTCAGAGTTTTTCAACCAAAATGATTTAAATTGAGGCAGGCAACCAGCAGAATATATTGGCTCAAATCACAGAAATCTGGTTTAGAGACCACACACACATTGAGAGCAGATTTATACTTGCCATCATAGGGAAACTTTAAACCTTTATGAAATAAGCTTTGGTAAGTTCCAGAACTGAGCCAAGTTACTTTTAAGTCCCACTTTCAAAAACAAACAAACAAAAAAACAATCATCAAGGTATTTTACCGCTATAAATATAAGCAATACTGATATCAAGCTCCCTTCAGTTCCAAAGATCTGTCCATCTTCATTTTAGAATCAAATATTTAGTCTCCTCCAAATAGTTTCACCAATTTGAAGCCATTACCCAGTTACAGAAAAAAAAATCCACTAAAGTGCACTGAGGCTCATTTCTGCTCTAGTTTTGTTAATAGTGTATTTCAGAAAGGATATCCTACAGCACAAGTTTGGGTCAAAATAAACAGTCCAACAAAATGAGAGCAAGAAGGAAATAATTTCACCTCTTCCTAAAAAGCTCTTTTTCATCCCTGATGGGTAAAAAAAAATTGCTCCCTCCACCTTTTACTTTTTTTTTTTTTTTTTTTTTTTTAAGATTCTAGTTAAACTTTGAAGCTATTAAGTTTTTTAAAGACAAGAAACATTTCTGAATCCCAAATCCAACTCCTCCTTTTTACATTTAAAACAACATGAGGAGCCTTTTCATATTCTTTAGTGAATAGGGTTGTTTCTGACAGAATTCATTACTGCTGAATTGTCGCATATACGGTTACTAAAACAATGACCCTTCCCTGCCTGAGCACTTATCCCATGCACAATGGAACTGACAATTGTAGGGTTTTGTTTCTTATTAAACTGGAAGTTTTGAAAGTGGGGAAAGTTACAGAAATATGGCTGATATAACACACACCACAGTAAAGCAACAAACTACACAGACAACTGAGTGTCATTAACAAATATCCACTTATTTGATCACTAACAGATCTTAACTTATGTATATGGCATTTTGAAGAGCCAGTAAAAAATTATGACTAATCACATTTCTTGGCTGATAACCAAAGGCCAATCATACAAAGTTAATTGCAAAGTCATTTGCTATTTGCAGAAAAATGAATTACCAATATTTGCTTCTAAAAAAAACAAATGAGTTTGATTCTCTTCCTTCTCACATCAGTAAAAGAAAGACTGACCTCTAATTTTTTTCCAAACCAGCTTTGCTTCTGCTCCCCCCAAAAGTGAAATAAAACTCTACCCATAAATTACTGTAATATGGAAGGGAAGAAACTTGCATATTCAGCTTTTATATTGCTGAACCTTTCCTTCTGAAAAAGCTTTCAGGAAAACTCCAGCATATATTTGATTATTTTATTAATGATTTAATAATCAAAATGATTAATTTAACATAGCATATGTGAAACTAAGTTTCAACCAGAGTTATTACTTCTAGGCACAAATGAACTTGCTTTTTAATAAAACATGCACAATACGGTGGATGTTTTTCTGAGTTATGAGATACTCATCTATGATTCTGAAATACACCCACCCCATCCCCAGGAACACACTAATACCACAGCTTTGACTTTTTCTTATGCCAAATGCTAATTGTCCTAAAAATAGTACAAAGCAATATAACAGTTTTCCATTACTTAAGGTTTAATTCCTCCCTTTCCCCCTTCTTAACTGCAGTCAAACTAATTCCAGGAGTGGATTATTTTATCATTATTGCTAAACTCTACATTCAGCAAGTATTTGCTACTGATAACTGCCAGGTGCCTTCTGGTATTTAGTAGGAAAGACCACGCAGAGCTATTTAACTTCAAAAATTAATGAAGAGCAGGTGCAAAAGCCAGTTTTCATAATGGTCTATTTTGATAAAAATAAGCATACTGTAACGTAGATGCATAATAAATCTTTATATGCACAGTAGTTACTTCCATTTTTCATGGTTTTGCTAA